ACATGCTCCGACTATCCGATGGCCGAAAGAGCGCATCCTGGTGCAGGGTATAGATCCGCCGATGGCAAACGACGCATTACAGAGCACGCTTCGTGGGGAAGAAGAGAACGGATATGCGGCGTGGGAGAATGACCCCATGGGTACCGGAGATCTTCTAGGTGGGAAGAGACAGTTACGCGGATGGGACGCCAGCAAGGCAGCCAAGCATTTCAAAGACTTGGAAGATAGTGTCAAGGAGTTGTTTCAAGGCACAGTATCCGACGAGCTGCCATGGATAAGCTAGAGCAAGAATTGCTAGGACTTGCTTACTATCTAAACTCCTACCTATCCTATCGAAGCGTTGTATTTGGTCGCCCACAGAGCACGACATCTTCACCTAGCGGGATCCATCTCGTGTCTTTCAATCTTGTGATGGGCAGTCGTTCTGAGCCGCCATCCGGACACACCTGTACACCGCCTCTTCCTAGCCACGTAGGAGCAATCGTGACGATTACCGAGTCGACCAGCGAGTAGGCGGGACCAGGTCCCAGTATATCATTGATGACAAAACCGCCACCTTCAATCATCACACTCTTTATACCTCGGTGCGCCAAAGCATCGAGGATGATATGCCACGACGAACCGGATGCAGCAATGTCTTCAGGAGAAAGTCCCAGAACCAAGAACTGGCCACCTACGCTTTCGAGTATCTTTCGTTGAGTATTGGACGGCTCCACGCAGGTCACGATGTAAGGTGCTTTTCCCTTTCCCTCCTTGGCTAATCTCATCACCTTGCTTGCTTCGCTGAATTGCCAGCGTCCGTGGGGATCAACAACGACTGGCCTTGGTTGTCCAACGAGCCCTTCTCCACCATAGCCGCCGACGCCTTCGATTCGGCAATTTAATGATGGGTTGTCGGCAATGGCTGTCCCCGCTCCGATCAGAATAGCATCGTGTCTTGATCTCAGGAAATGGGTCATAGCCTTGGATTGCGGGCCAGATAACGCTGTCTGCACGCCGGGCGCGATAGCTAATTGGCTGTCGAGTGAAGTAGCGAAGGTCAATGTAACGAAAGGCTTAGAAACATGTTGGTGGGATCGGGGCGATGTAGGCGGGTCATGGGGTAGGTAGCCTTCTATGTGCTGGCTATCCGAAGCTGGAAAATGTAACGCGTCTCGTACAGCTGTCATGGCTGCTGTGACTATGTTTCGACTGTACGTACGAGTATCGTGAGTCTGTACCTAGGTAGATGGAAGGCTGAAAACCATGGGTGACTAAGCCGTAAAGTGGGCATCACCGAGAAACCGTGTTTGGACCCCACGTCGCAGCACGGACGCCCGAGGATCGTGGCAGCCTGCCCAACTAAGGTTATCTTCACTCTCACGTATAATATCTCTAGCCCTTCTTTTGTTCGGCATTTGTACTTTCGCAGGCCCTCGCACTCGCCGCCTTCTCCACTAGCCTCTCCCTATCACCCAACCGCCACCTAGTCCTCTACCTCTCGCCGTTTGCCCCACGACCCTCACGCGCGCGCATTCCAGCACACCAACGCGGTTATATCTACACAGGCAATAGCCCGGACGCCGCATACAATACCGCCAAGATGATGAAAATATGGTCTATGGTAGGTCTTTGGAATTCTAGTGTCGCGTGGTAATACATGACGGCTAACAATCTTGTAGAAGAAACAGCAGCAGCAGGATGAGGCTGCACAAGCTGCGTCGAGCAAGAAGAAGAAGGTCACCCCAGCCCAGCTGCGAACACAAAAAGGTATCGTCATCTCTCGACTACATACCATGTCCCTCGCAAAGCTAACGCGACACAGATCTCGAGGAACTATCTCTCGGCACAACGATGAAGACACACTTTCCCAACCCCGACGATATCCTAAACTTCGAGCTCACGATCGACCCTGACGAGGGAATGTATAAAGGTGGACGCTTCAGATTCGACTTCAAGATCAACCAGAACTTCCCTCACGACCCGCCAAAAGTCAAGTGCACACAGAAGATCTACCATCCGAACATCGACCTTGAGGGCAACGTCTGCCTGAACATTCTGCGAGAGGACTGGAAACCAGTATTGAACTTGAATGCGGTTGTTGTTGGTCTACAGGTACGTTACAGGGTTGCAAGATATGGAATGGCATACTGACAGATCACAGTTTCTCTTCCTCGAGCCGAACGCGTCGGACCCGCTGAACAAAGAGGCTGCCGAAGACCTCAAGCAGAACCGAGAGGGCTTCAAGCGCAACGTGCGCGCATCGCTCGGCGGCGGCACAGTCAAGGGACAGAACTTCGATCGCGTGCTCAAATGAGCTCTGTCGCATAGGATCAGAACAACACAAGATTTCACGCAGCAGTCCTTCGAAATGCCCCCCCACGGACGGATGCATCACAATGACATGAGACCGAGCCACGGGCTTATTGCAGGACGGGGTTGATGCATGGGAGAAGATTGAAGGTGAACATGTCAATACATTAGCGACTGCATGTATGGTCTGGCGCATCATGTAGAGGGTGCGTGGGTATCGTACGGGCGCAAGATAGTCTTCCAAGATCTCATACAATATGACTGCACATTTGCGCACAAAGATGGTTTTGCCCGTTCGTGATACTTTACTGTGACTGCGATGTTTGCTTGAAGATTGCGTCACCGCCATGCTGAATCTGTATCCGTCTACCTAGGCTGAGAGAGCTGTACGCAAACCGCGCTGCGCAACGTTACCTCGTAGTAAATAGGCCCGCTTAGACTACGGTCAATCTCACCAAGTCATCAGCCGCCACGCACTATCCACTATGACTGGGTCCAGCGATGCCTCATATCATCAGAACCGCTCTCGGAGACACGCATTCCTCCCCGACGACCCTCCGGCCCCCCTGCTAGCACTATGATAGCGTGCGGTGATTGGCCGAGGACGCGAACGGTCGGTCTGGGGCAGCGATAATCGGCCTGGTCCAAGCTCCCCAACTCGAAATTCTGGGTGGGTTGACGATCGAGCCCAGCGTGTTTAAAAGCCCATATCCCCGCCAAACAATTCTGACCCCAAGATACCCCTTTCACACACATTCACAATGGCTTCAAGACCTGTCACCCGCGCTCTGCGCCAAACCGCCCGCCAATTGGCTTCCACTCCCGCTCAGAAGCGCACTTTTGTGTCTGCTCTGAGTGCTGGTGCTAAGAAGGCTGCTCCCCGCGCGGCTGTCACAAGCCAGTTCCAGCAGACCCGTGGTGTCAAGACCATTGACTTTGCCGGAACCAAGGAGACTGTCTACGGTGAGTTTGACTATTCTCGGTGCATCAAGACCAAAGCTGACAACAAACAGAGCGTGATGACTGGCCAAAGGAGAAGCTTCTTGAGTACTTCAAGAACGACACCATGGCCATGATTGGCTACGGATCCCAGGGTCACGGCCAGGGTCTCAACATGCGCGACAACGGCCTCAACGTCATTGTCGGTGTACGGAAGAACGGTGCTTCGTGGAAGGAAGCTGAGGCCGATGGCTGGGTTCCCGGAAAGAACCTGTTCGACATCGACGAGGCTATTGGCAAGGCCACCATTGTCATGAACCTTCTCTCAGATGCCGCTCAGTCTGAGACCTGGCCCGCCATCAAGCCCCAGCTCAAGGGCAAGGTAAGCAATGCTCATTAATTCGACAAGAGTTGAAACTAACAAACCCAGACTCTCTACTTCTCCCACGGTTTCTCCCCCGTCTTCAAGGACCTCACCAAGGTCGAAGTCCCCACCGACATCGACGTCATCCTCGTCGCCCCCAAGGGCTCCGGCCGCACTGTCCGCACCCTCTTCCGCGAGGGCCGCGGTATCAACTCGTCCATCGCCGTCTACCAAGACGTTACTGGCAAGGCCAAGGAGAAGGCCGTCGCCCTCGGTGTTGCCGTCGGTTCCGGATACATGTACGAGACTACCTTCGAGAAGGAGGTCTACTCCGACCTGTACGGCGAGCGTGGTTGCCTGATGGGCGGAATCCACGGTATGTTCCTCGCGCAATACGAGGTCCTCCGTGAGCGCGGCCACAGCCCCTCTGAAGCCTTCAACGAGACCGTCGAGGAGGCGACCCAGTCTCTGTACCCCTTGATCGGCGCCAACGGCATGGACTACATGTACGCTGCGTGCTCCACCACCGCCCGCCGCGGTGCCATCGACTGGAGCAAGCGCTTCAAGGCCGCCCTCAAGCCCGTCTTCGACGACCTCTACACCTCCGTCGAGAACGGCAGCGAGACCAAGCGCTCCCTCGAGTACAACAGCCAGCCTGACTACCGCGAGAAGTACAACCAGGAGCTCAAGGAGATTGACGACCTGGAGATCTGGCGCGCTGGAAAGGCTGTCCGCTCCCTCCGCCCTGAGAACGCCAAGTAGATGTGCGTTCGAGGAGAGGTTGAGCTTGGATAGTATGGAAAGTGAAAATGTGTAGATAATGTCATGTCTTTTGTTACGATTAGGGATGTTATGGCGTCAAGCGCTGGATTTGTCATGGGCGCTGGTGTAGCTGCATTGGCGGCGGTCAAAAAAGAACATTGGAAGAGAGAAGGAAGGGATAGCGCAAAAGCGAATGAATACCTTTCCATGACAACAATCATCTCACTTGATGCATTCTCTTGTGGTGTATAGTCTGCTGGACTGGAGATATTGCATCTCGTTACAGGCGTATCACATTGGAATGAATACCTCAATATGTGCGTCCAACTCATCCCACATATCCGTCATACTTCCACTTCTCTACCCCAACCTGACTGTTCCCTATCCTATCCTATTATGATCCTCTTACTATAGCCCTTCCACTCTATTCTTATTCGAAACTGGCGGCGCTAACCTCGTAAAAGCCTTGGACCGTGCGTACGTCGTCCAAAGCCTCCCTTCCAAGTCTAAAAGTAGCCCTGGTTTGGGTCTTTGTGCTGAAGATACAGGGATGCTGCATTTGGGGGATGATGTTGACGTTGACGTTGATGAAGGCGAGGAGAGAGGTGAGCCTGTTGATGCTGAGGATGCAGGGGTGCTGCTTCTAGAGGACGAAGTTGAAGTTGACGAACTTGATGAAATTGTGGAGGGAGGTGAGGTTGGTGATGTCGAGGCTGATGTGGATGTGGATGAGGTTGAAGTTCGATGGGCCATCTTTGTCCTTTCGATGTGTTTTGCGGGGTCGTCAAGGATTGTGTTGAAGTTTGGGGTTTGGTAGGGTTGCGCCGGTGTGTACATGTTTTTTCTGCGAAGATATCTTGGATGGGAGACCTCGCGAAGGTAGACGTTGTGATAGTAGTTGATGTGTTGGTAGTCGTCTGAATGGTAGATCGATCGTTGGTCTACGTGGAGGAGTATGGTAGTAGATTTTAAAAGCTACAAGAGTGTACCTTTCAATGTGTGAAAATTTGATGACTGAACCTCGCCTCCATATCCCATTTAAACACAGTTGTCCTCCAAGTTCCCCAGCCGACGTCGAATGTGAACTGGCTGCGTACTCTACGGTAGCCTGGTTCCTCTGGTTCCGTGTCGTCCACAACGGGCTCTTCCACAGGCTCCACAGTGGATTGTGCGATGGGCCATTCGACAACCTCCCAATCTTCGCTAAGTTTCGTCTCGTCTCCTTTTTCGGCGTCATGGCTTGGTTTTGATGGTCTCGCATCAGGCTCTGGTCCAGCGTATTAGTCAACATCGATCAGTGAATCTGTTGGAGAGAAAGCGTACCATGTTCTTTATTATCTGGACGTGATCCGAGTATGGGCTTACCGCCTATGCTTACACTGTAAGACCACGACGATTCGCGATGGTATGTGCCGCCTGTCTGTGCCATGTTGCAATGATGAGTGTTTCAGAAACAGACAGCTGTTGGTGTGCTATGGAAACGATGTCTACAAAAAGGCTTCTCAAGGTTGTGGCGTTTCGCAGCGGTATTGGATTGTCGAGTTCTCGGTCTTTCCTACAAGTCAGTCTGCTGACAACCATAGTGGTTGCCTGATTTGGCTGCGCCACGTCTTGATACTGCGAGGTGCTGAAAGAGGGAAGGATCTGTATAGAATACCCGGATATGACGGCGTGCTGAAGGATGCGGAGGGCTGTAGTCTCCGATCAAATCACATCAAGGCTCCCATTTTGACTTTGGGCCTATAACGATGCTGTTGCATACAAATTGGGATTCCAAGTATTTATCAGAATTGGTGAATTGGAAGTTGCTGCCAAGAGTGCTGTTCCCTACGTTATGCTGGAGAGTGATAAAGAGATCAGGTTGAAGTTGAACAGTTTCTTGTTTTCACGAGTAGCTTTCATGGTGCATAGCCCGTCGCGACATCGTATTGTCCTTTAATAGGCTTTTCTTCGTGTTCTAAACTTCTCCAAAAGGGGAATAAACTCAAGCGGGGAGGGGAGTGACAAGCCTGTAGTTGCAAGACCTGAACCATACCAAACAATACGTTTCTACCTAGGTAGGTTGACCAAACTTTGGAATGAGCAAAGTAGAAGGGGTTCGCGAAATTGCAATCGATGAGTCGCGGCATGAAGACAAGATAAGGAAAGTGGACATCTGCGTCGGTCGAAAGTGGAAGCGAGGCCAAGTGGCTGAGACAACAAGCACTGCTTGGCTTCTCTGGCCTGACGCAACGACATATTGCTCCTCGGAACGCCTTGCATCAAGTAAGACTTCGAAATAACCCATCAGTGCTCAGGCGCTGTAATATGCAGTGTACCCATTTCTCAGGATAAAGCAGTAACAACAAGGAAGCGGATATCGAACGCTTCGTGCGTTCGCATGCTTTTGACGCACCTGAACAAATCCAACGCCCACGCACCAGCAACTCTCCGCACCCCGCGGGCACCTAGCGCCTCCACAAATCGCATGGCGGATGTACCAGATCGTGCATCGATCAAGGAGGCGTCGAATCACTCTCGGGTTGGATGCGAGGCTAAACTCCGATTTACCGATCTGGGGATCTAACATCAACATGACATCACCACTTCAACATTGAACTATCGACGCGTCGCAAACATGAGGCACGTAACAAGTGCGTGCGCGCAGCAAAGCGCTCTAGTTAACTGTCATTGGGAACCATGTTATAGTACTGTCCCTCCGTTCGGATCTCCCACAACGCCCGCAACTTTCGCGGATAGTCCCTTGAGACCGTCGCAAACGGCTTCTTTTAGCCATCTTTGTTTACCGTCAATCATTGGATAGCGATTATCCTCGTAATAGTTTCACGACGCATACTACTTTTCGTTGGCCTTCCTAGGCTGTGGAAACTTCGCGATGGCTTCCAACGAGACAGGAACGCTCCGGGATTTCGATCAACAACACACACAAGACGCGTCGCAACAACAATCACATGTTACTTCGGACGCGTCTGCTACCTCGAGTAATACGACTACGCACAACACTTTCATCTCCAACGCCTTACACACCAGTAGCCGGAGCTACTACGGTGCAGAAGGCTCAGGGCTATTCTCAGCTTCAAGCAATTCCACGGCGGTACCATCGCCAGGTGTTCGACCTTCCTCAGATGCCGCAATACAACATTCAGCTTCCGAACATGTGTCCAGCGATGAATCTGCAACTCAGACTATCCCAAGCAACGACTACCTGCAGAAGACGACATCAGGAGGCCCAGTCGAGGAGCACGTAGTTCTCCACGATGATTCTTCAGACTCAGAGCATGAGGCAGAGGAGCCGTCTGAGAAGCGTACCGAAACCGCCAAGAGGCCCGGCCTCCAGTCGAAGAACTCGAAACCCATGACCGAAGACGACCTGTTCCGCGCGTTGTCCAGGCGAAGAACAAGCCAGGCCAATGGCCTCAGCAAAACAAATACTAGTGCGACAGGACGAAGCCAAGAGGAAGAGGACGAGATCAACAAGCTCATGGGAAAGATGTTCGGACACACCAGGCAGGAAGCATCAGAAGAGGAGAAGACGCGACATCAAGGTGTAATCTTCAAGCACTTGACCGTTAAGGGCATGGGTATTGGAGCGGCATTGCAGCCGAGTGTTGGAAGTCTTTTCCTAGACCCCGTGAGATTCTTCAAGAATCTACTCACCAAGGGGCCACGCAAGGCAGGCGGCAAGCCCCCGATCCGCACCCTTCTCGACGACTTTTCTGGTTGCATAAGACCTGGCGAGATGGTGCTTGTTCTCGGCAGACCTGGGGCAGGTTGCTCAACGTTCCTCAAGATGATCGGCAACCAACGATATGGCTACGAAGAGATCACAGGCGACGTTTCGTATGGCGGTACTGACGCAGACGAGATGGGCAAGAAGTATCGTTCGGAGGTGCTTTACAACCCCGAAGAGGACCTCCACTACGCGACGCTCAAGGTCAAAGACACACTCAGGTTCGCTTTGAAGACGAGGACACCTGGCAAAGAGTCACGAAAGGAAGGCGAGTCCCGCAACGACTATGTCAACGAGTTCCTTCGTGTAGTCACCAAGCTTTTCTGGATTGAGCACACCCTGGGTACAAAGGTTGGCAACGAACTGATTCGTGGTGTGTCTGGTGGTGAGAAGAAGCGTGTTTCGATCGCGGAGGCCATGGTGACCAAGGCATCGGTACAGTCCTGGGACAACTCGACTAAAGGTCTCGATGCGAGCACCGCTCTCGAATACGTTCAGAGTCTGCGATCTCTCACGAACATGGCTCAGATCTCTACTGCCGTGGCGCTCTACCAGGCAGGCGAGTCTTTGTACGACCTTTTCGACAAGGTTCTTTTAATCCACGAAGGCCGCTGCTGCTACTTTGGGCCCACCGAGAAGGCCGCGGAGTATTTCAAGAATCTCGGCTTTGTCAAACCCGAGCGTTGGACCACCAGTGACTTCTTGACGTCCGTAACCGATGATCACGAGCGACAGATCAAGGAGGGCTGGGAAGATCGCATTCCTCGTACTGGCGCGGCTTTTGGAGAAGCATTTGCCAGCAGCGAGCAAGCCAATGACAACCTGGCCGAGATCGATGAGTTCGACAAGGAGACCAAGAAGCAGGCTGAAGAACGTCACCAGGCACGAACTAAAGCTACCAAGAAGAAGAACTTCACCATCTCGTTCCCAGCTCAAGTCGTCGCCTGTACCGACCGCCAGTTTCGCGTCATGGTGGGAGATCCGCAATCTCTTATTGGCAAATGGGGTGGCATCTTCTTCCAGGCCCTTATCGTCGGGTCATTGTTCTATAATCTTCCAAACACTGCACAGGGCGTGTTTCCACGAGGTGGTGTAATCTTCTTCATGCTACTTTTCAACGCCCTTCTCGCTCTCGCTGAGCTTACGTCTGCTTTCGAATCCCGACCCATTCTACTGAAGCACAAGACCTTCTCCTTCTATCGACCGGCCGCCTACGCCATTGCGCAAACTCTAATCGACATGCCCCTTGTCCTGGTTCAGGTGTTCATCTTCGACATTGTTGTATACTTCATGGCCAATCTTTCGCGAACAGCATCGCAATTCTTCATTTCACTCCTCTTCCTCTGGATCATCACGATGACGATGTACGCCTTCTTCCGAGCTATTGGAGCTTTGGTAGGGTCCTTGGACGTCGCAACTCGGATTACGGGTGTTGCAATTCAGGCGCTTGTCGTATACACCGGCTATTTGATCCCTCCGGCGAAGATGCATCCCTGGTTCTCGTGGCTACGTTGGATCAACCCCATTCAATACGGCTTCGAAGGTCTCCTAGCGAATGAGTTCTACAACCTCGAGATCCAGTGTGTACCCCCGTTCATCGCGCCACAAATTCCTGGTGCCCAGGAGCAGTATCAGTCCTGCGCTATCCAAGGCAACAGGCCTGGATCGCTTACAGTCGCCGGTCCGGATTACATCTCTGCAGCGTTTGGCTACAGCAGATCACATCTCTGGCGCAACTTTGGCTTCATCTGTGCCTTCTTCCTCTTCTTTGTGGCGCTAACTGCTTTCGGTATGGAAATCCAGAAGCCCAACAAAGGTGGAGGAGCTGTCACTATCTACAAGCGCGGTCAAGTACCCAAGACTGTCGAGAAAGAGATGGAGACCAAGACCCTACCCAAGGATGAGGAAGCTGGTAATGGCGAGCCGATCACCGAGAAACACTCCAGCGACAACGACGACTCTGACAAGACGGCTGAGGGTGTGGCAAAGAACGAGACAATCTTCACATTCCAAGACATTACCTACACTATCCCATACGAGAAGGGCGAGAGAACGTTACTCAAGGGCGTGCAGGGCTTCGTTAGGCCCGGCAAGCTTACTGCGCTGATGGGTGCATCGGGTGCCGGTAAGACGACATTGCTAAACACCCTTGCCCAGCGCATTGACTTTGGCGTTGTTCGTGGAGACTTCCTGGTCGATGGAAAGCCACTTCCGCAATCCTTCCAGCGTTCGACCGGTTTCGCAGAGCAGATGGATGTACACGAATCTACAGCGACAGTACGCGAGGCACTTCAATTCTCAGCGCGGTTGAGGCAACCGAAGGAAGTACCCATCCAGGAGAAGTACGACTACGTCGAGAAGATTATCGATCTTCTTGAAATGCGCGACATTGCTGGTGCAGCTATCGGTACAGCTGGAAATGGACTCAACCAAGAACAGAGGAAGCGTCTTACCATTGGCGTGGAGCTTGCAAGCAAACCTGAACTGCTCATGTTCCTTGATGAACCTACTTCCGGCCTTGACTCTGGTGCTGCTTTCAACATTGTTCGCTTCTTGCGCAAGGTAAGTCCACCAATCTCGACATTCTAGGACGACTGACTAACTTGGCTGCAGCTTGCGGACGCTGGCCAAGCAATCCTCTGCACGATCCATCAACCCAGCGCGGTCCTCTTCGAGCACTTCGACCAGCTATTACTTCT